AGTTTTTGAGGAGCCTCCATATTGTTTTCCACAGTGGCTGCACCAGTTTACATTCCCACCAATAGTACACGAGGGTTCCTTTTTTTCCCCACATCCTCACCAACACTTGTTATTTCTTGTCTTTTTAATTCTAGTCATTCTGACAGGTGTGAGGTGATATCTCATTGTGGTTTTGATTTGCATTTCCTTGATGATGAGTGATGTTGAACATCTTTTCATGCGTCTGTTAGCCATTTTTATGTCTTCTTTGGAAAAATGTCTATTCAAGTCCCCTGCCCATTTTTAATTAGATTATTATTTTTTGGTGTTGAGTTATATAACTTCTTTATATATATTTTGGAATATTAACCCCTTATGGGATATATCATTTGCAAATATCTTCTCCTATTCAGTAGGTGGTTTATTGATGGTTTCCTTTGCTGTGCAAAAGCCTTTTGTTTGGGAGTAGTCTCAAATAGTTTAATTTTGCTTTTATTCTTAAAAATTCTTAGAAGTGTCACATTTTTATTTGCTGCTTGGAAAATTTCCTTGAAATATTCTTGAGCAAGGGGCACTTGGGTGACTCAGTCAGTTAAGCGTCTGCCTTCAGCTCAGGTCATGAACTCAGGGTCCTGGGATCAAGCCCTGCATCAGGCTTCCTGCTCAGCAGGGAGTCTGCTTCTCTCTCTCTCTCCCTCTGCCCCTCCCAGCCACTCGTTCTCTCTGTCAAATAAATAAATAAAGTCTTAAAAAAAAAAGAATATTCTTGAGTGAAATTTCACCATATGTAGTTAGGTACCTTTTGTCACTTAGTGGAAATAAATCACACATTGACCATTCTTATCTGATAGATTGGGCAATTTGTGACTCAGATGGTATCTAATGCATAGTAGGTATCTCTTAAATATTTTGTTGATGAGCAGATAAGTTTCATGGTATTTGTGGAACCAAATAAAAAAAATTTTGAAGATGTTTGCATTTAATCAAACAACTGGTTGTGAATGCAGTACACTAATATTTACCCCAATTTTTGTAGTATAGTGCCAAGTGTAAGAATGTAGGCCCCTTGGTACTCATGCACTGATGGTCGGTGTTGTAGACTCTAATCCTGAAAGAAAGTCAGACTTATTATGATAGTCAATATTTGTCAAAAAAATTTTACAATTCAGTTATGGCATTTGAGGAGTTATGAGGTCTTGCCTGGTTTACACTTGCCTGGTATACCAGAAAGGCATGATGATCTGTTTTCATTACCATCATGGTTCATTCCCAGGGTGTGCTGGAGCCAGCTAGTATGTGCTCCTGAGAGCCAACTGTGTACATTTCTTCCCAATTCAAGGTCCAGAGACCTACATTTTGGCAGCTTGAACTTTGACACGTTGGGAGCATTTACACCATGGAAATTGGCCTGTGCTACAATCAGGCTACCTCCAGAGCTAGTTGTTAAACATTTACCAGCACATCAGTGTTCATTCTCTGCGCCCACCCGCAATCATTCTAACTACTCTGTTCCTTGCCTGCTTTAGAGCACACGAGAGGCAGGGAAGTCAGGGAGTCAGAAGTCTGGATTGTGTTAACAACAAAATTTGACTGAATAAAAATTTAAAGATCTTACTGGCTTTACTCATGGATTCATGATTTGGGCAGGATCCAGTCTAGCAGGCAGAAAGGAGCTCTGAGGAACTGTGCAAAATGAAAGGCTTTTTATAGGCAGAAGGGAGCCAGACAAGGAAGTTATACTAGGCAAAAAGCCAACTGATTATTGCAAGCTTACTTTCCCTATAGAGGGCAGGGGTCTTATCAGGCACATTACATAACTAATGCTGATCAGGTGATTCCTGAATGACTGGTTTAAGATTCCATTTCCAGAGAGCTGGAACTTAAATTAAGTCTCAGTTTGGTGACTTGGGGCTTAGTATAAGCAACTCCATTTTGGGTCTGTTGTGTTTAGTAACTGGAATATAGATTCATCTCCTTAATAACCCCATGACCTTGAACAAATTATGTAACCTCTCTAATACCACTTTCTTCCTTAGTAAAATGGGGTTGAAATAAGACTCACCTCAAGGTTTTGAGGGTAAAATGAAATGATGTATGGTAACCACCTAACAGTGTCTGATATGTAGTAAATGCTCAATAAGTGGTGTTTACTAGGTTTGGGTGGTGTTTTTTTTTATTGCTAGTACTGATATTCATTCAACAAATACATATGGAATGGCTATTTACAAAGCACATTTGATTCTGCCTGGATGGTTTTACTTTATTTTTACTTTTTGTTATTGTTATTTTTTAAGGTTTTATTTATTTATTTTAGAGAGAGAGAGAGTGAGAGAGAGAGAGAGGCAGCATGAGCAGGGGGAGGGGCAGAGAGAGAGAGGGACAAGCAGACTCCCCACGGAGCAGGGGAGCCCGAAGTGGGTCTAGATCCTGGACCCTGAGATCATGACCTGAGCGGAAGTGAGATACTTATCAGGCTGAACCACCCATGTACAGATAAACAAGAATAAAGCACCACCCTGAAATTCTGAGCTTTCAGATCACATGTTTTATGCCATGGGGACTGTACATCTGGGCCCTTGACGAATGTCTTGGTTTGCTATCAATGGGCAGATAGTTCCAGAGTCTGGTTGACTTATCTCCTGTCAGGGCACCTTCTTCTCTCCAACTACTTACCTATTCCCATTCCCATAAATATCCTCACTCTTCCATTTCCTTCCTTTCTCCACAAATAAGCAAACAATCTCCCTGGCACGTGGTAGGTGCTGTCAGGCCTGTAATCACAAGTACTCTTGCATGACTCACCTGGAAGCTGCCTTTTTATATCCCGAGGCCAAGAACAGAAGGCTTGATTTCTATGTGGGATTTAATCTTCGGGCAAAAGGTCCCCCCAAGGGTAAAAGCTGTCTGCCTTTTTTTCCATGACTGGTTCCGGTCCCCTCCTCTTACCCATGTCATGCTCAGAAAGACATCCCACACACTGTGTAGCCTTTTCCCCCTCAAGATTCCTTTGGGGAGAATAATGGTTATTTGTAGGAGAAATGATAACGTGAAATTCTAAACCCTCCAGATTCTTACAGGTGCAAGTGCCACTGAGATTGAAATAGGAATAGAAGTATTTGTTGTAAGGGGGTGTCTTAACCTCTTTATACTTTTCAAATATTAAGTGTGCACAAAACTGGAAGACTCCTGCTGCCTTCTGCACACATGGGCTTCTTGTGGAATTCCTCAGATCATTTGAAGTGTGCCTTTTCAACATGATCAGTGTTTCAATACTTAAATTTCAGAGCTGTTTTAAAATGGGGAAACACTTAAGACGGGTACAAATTGCTTCATGTTGAGAACTCTCTGGCCATCAGTTTTAAACTATCGCTTTATGGGAGCAGCTTGATGATGTAAAAATGTAAACCTTGGCTAAAATTAACAAGTCAGGAAACGACAGATGTTGGTGGGGATGCAGAGAAAGGGAAACCTTCCTACACTGCTGGTGGGAATGCAAGCTGGTGCAGCCACTCTGGAAAACAGTATGGAGGTTCCTCAAAAAGTTGAAAATAAAGCTACCATATGACCCAGAAATTGCACTACTGGGTATTTACCCCAAAGATACAAATGTAGAGATCCGAAGGGGTACGTGCATCCTGATGTTTATAGCAGCAATGTCCACAATAGCCAAACTGTGGAAAGAGCCAAGATGTCCATCAACAGATGAATGGATAAAGAAGATGTGGTATATATACACAATGGAATATTATGCAGCCATCAAAAGGAATGAAATCTTGCCATTTGCAACGACGTGGATGGAACTGGAGGGTATTATGCTGAGCGAAATAAGTCAATCAGAGAAAGACATGTATCATATGATCTCACTGATATGAGGAATTCTTAATCTCAGGAAACAAACTGAGGGTTGCTGGAGTGGGGGATGGGGTGGGAGGGATGGGGTGGCTGGGTGATGGACATTGGGGAGGGTATGTACTATGGTGAGTGCTGTGAATTGTGTAAGACTGTTGAATCACAGACCTGTACCTCTGAAACAAATAATACATTATATGTTTAAAAAAGGAAAAAAAAGAAGAAGATAGCAGGAAGGGTAAAATGAAGGGGGGGGAATTGGAGGGGGAGGGGAACCATGAGAGACGATGAACTCTGAGAAACAAACTGAGGGTTCTAGAGGGGAGGGAGGTGGGGGGATGCATTAGCCTGGTGATGGGTATTAAAGAGGGCACGTATTGCACGGAGCACTGGGTGTTATACGCAGACAATGAATCATGGAACACTACATCAAAAACTAATGATGTAATGTGTGGTGATTAACATAACATAATAAAATTTTTAAAAAAAGTAAACCTTGGTATGAATGAGTAGAAAACAGAACACATCAAACACTACTTTCCAGCTCATTTAATTAATTTTTTCGAGCTCATATAATTAATGAATTGATTGCACCAGAAACATGTCTTATAGAAACTATTTTTTGTTAAAATAGTTTATCACAATTAATATATCCTTGATATCCTATTGCTTCCATAAAGTTCTAATAGGCATCAGTAATATTGTTCAGCTTCCTACCATCCTATTGTCAGCAGCAGAAACTCTTGTGGATAAATTAAATAATTAAAAAAATGTAAATGATGTGTTTATGTGTATTTAAAATCCAAATAGTTGCTTTTTCAAACTTGATTTTAGACTCTTTTTCCCCCTAAATAGTCACATTCAATTCTTAACGAGAATGAATACACATCGAGTTTATCGGGCTTGATTATTTGAGAAACACCACAATCATTCACTTTAACTATTTCCTAGCTTTTTACAATGGAAAAAGGATTAATGTAATCTCTTACGGTAGAAAATGAGTTTTAGGTTTTTCAGAGCCAAAATGAAAATACTTCAGAGCAAAATCGGATGAAGTCTTTGGAATTCAAAGTGGCTAAATACCCAAAAGAACCACCATATTAAAATTGCCAGTTACATGCCTCCCAGAGGTCTAATTCCTTTTTAATAACTTGGACATTTCTGCTTGTCAGTGATACAGGAACAACACCTCCAGAGAGTGGGATTTTTGGATTCATGATAAACTTCTCTGCATTTCTTGGTAAGTACACAATAGTTATTATAAACAAATGAAAAATTCATAATCTCAAGTGAAGTGAAATGTGTTGTTTACAGTGTGTATATAATTTTTTGTTTTTGTTTTTTTAGCAGACTTTATTTTTCAGAACAGTTTTAGGTTCACAGCAAAATTGAGCAAAAAGTAGAGATTTCTCATATATGCCCTGCCCCCCAGCCAGTGTCTCCCCCACTATCAGCATTCCCCACCAGAGTTGTACATTTGTTACAGTTGATGAGCCTACATTGATGTATCATTATCACCCAAAGTCCATAGTTTACATTAGGGTTCACTCTTGGTGTGTATACATTTTTTTAAGGATTTGTTTATTTATTAGAGAGAGTGTGTGAGCATGCAGGCACACGAGTGGGAGGAGGGGCAGAGGGATAAACTTATGCAAAACCCAGAAGCTGAACAGTAAAGAATTGAAAGATTTAGTAGATAAAAAATTAAAACTTCCAAGTGACAAAAGGTACAAAAAATGAAGTTAAAGATGGACCAGAAGAAAATTTGTAATATTTATAGCAGACAATAGACTAGCGTGCATAATGTGTAAAAAGGAACTGCAAATTAAAAATGAAGAGACAAACTCAAGAGAAAAATCAGAAAAAAATTAAATGCAAGTTTCAGAAGAAGAAATGCAGATGACCAGCAGACATGCTGAAAGTTGCTCAATCTCACTAATGAGCGGAGAAATGACAACCAACAGGTTGTCATTTCCCATTCATTGTATTGGCCATAATTAAAAAGGCAAGGGCATGCAGAATTGCTTTCAAACTCTGCCATGAGGGTGTAAATGCTATAATACAGTCTTGGAGCAATTTGCAGCTACTTCTTGGCATTTTAATTGTGCACAGTTTTTGCTCCAGTAATATTACTTCTAGGAATTTGTCTTCCAGAGGCACTGAAAGCATGCCAAGGACTTGTATACAAGGCTCTTCATTGAACATTGTTTGTAACAGGAAAAATATAGACAGTGTAGAAGTCCAACATTAGGAGAATGATGAAATAAATATATACCATGATGAGACCCCTAAGAACAATGAAGTAGACTTATTTCCACCAACATGGTGAGATCTCCATGGTGGTTTTCTTTATTTGAAAAAAAAAGCAAGTCACAGAATACATGCACAGTAGCATTTATGTGAAAAAGATAACAGGCAAGTTGGTGTGTGTGTTTGTGTATGTTTGTGTATGTGTGTGTATGTCCATCACACTGAGGAGAGAGTAAGAAGGGGTGAGGAAGGACTGGGTGGGTGAGTGGGAGACTATGGCAATTAAATTGCAATACAGACTTTAAAACAGCAATGCAAAACTTTCCCTGTGTTTTCGTTTTAAAAGGTCAAATCAAAATTCATCAAAGTGCCTTTCTTTTTCAGGTGCAGCCACAATGTACACAAGATATAAAATAGTAGAGAAGCAAAATCAGACCAGCTATTTCAGCACGCCTGTATTTAACTTGGTGTCCCTAGTTCTTGGATTGGTGGGATGTATCGGAATGGGCATTGTAGCCAATTTCCAGGTATGTCCTGAGGTTGTTTGTGTTCTTGGGGATGATGGAGTATGTGTGTCTGGAGGAGAGAAACAAGAACACAAGAGGATCCTTGTGCCAGGATCAAGTAAGTAGTTGATGGGTTTATAAAAGTTGGGATAGTTTGCTTCTTAGAAACAAATCTTTCTTATTTGAAAGTCAGTCCTGCCTGGCACTTGGGAGAGGTGGGGTGCATGTTTGTACGGTTATGAGAAAGTGCATTTTGCTCCATGTTCCGGGCTCTGCATTGCTCCATGTTTATTAACATGGTTGACGGGTTGGGAGAGCGACTTTAGTCATTGTAATAGTTTCGTTAAGAGTGTGAAAATATTTGGGGCACCTGGGTGACTCCGTCGGTTGAGCCTCTAACTCTGGATTTCGGCTCAGGTCATGATCTCAGGGTCCTGAGATTGAGCCCGCATTGGGCTCTGCACTCAGTGAAGAGTCTGCTTCTCCCTCTTCCTCTGCCCCTCCCCCTGCTTGAGCTCTCTCTCTCTCTCTCTCTCAAACAAATAAAATCTTTAAAAAACAAAGAGTGTGAGAATATTTGTGTGTATGAACGTGTGTGTTTACCAAATGGAGAGCAGCATCTGATTTCTTCCTTTGCCAGGTGAGGATATAGGTAATGGGGGTGAAATCATTTGCTCAGCGTTACTCAGCTCATTCATTACAGAGCCAAAACACGGCCCCAGTGGAGCAAATTAACTTATCTGGTGACTTCTCTGGAGTCTGCTCAATTGTTCGAAGTGTTTGAATAAACCCTGCTTGTTCTATTCTAACTCGGGAATACCTGTTCATCCTGAGGTCTCTTTCAGGAAGGCATGGGAACTGTCTATGGAGACAATATTTAATATTTTAAAAGTATTTATTGCATTTCAGATTTTTTTTTTTAAAGATTTTTATTTATTTGACAGAGAGAGACACAGCGAGAGAGGGAACACAAGCAGGGGGAGTGGGAGAGGGAGAAGCAGGCTTCCCACTGAGCAGGGAGCCCGATGCGGGGCTTGCATGACCTGAGCCGAAGTCAGACGCTTAGCGACTGAGCCACCCAGGCACCCCTGCATTTCAGATTTTACTAGTTAGAATATCCTCCCCTCCTAGGGTTATTGTGAGGACGCTATGAGCTGATGGACACTAACAGCAGGCCATACTTGGCAGCCACCGCGGCTGCCATCGTCACAGGCTTACACTGCGTTGGTCCTGCTCTCACCGCCACTATGTTTTGTTTGTTTTTTAAGATTTTATTTATTTATTTGTCAGCGAGAGAGAGAGAGTGCACACAAGCAGGGGGCAGCGATAGGCAGAGGGAGAAGCAGGCTTCCTGCTGAGCAAGGAGCTGGATGCGGGACTCGATCCCAGGACCCTGGGATCATGACCTGGCTGGAAGGTAGACGTTTAACCGACTGAGCCACCCAGGCGCCCCCTGAGTTTTCGTTTTTGAATGTTATAAATCCATAATTATTGTTTCCCTGTTAACACCGAAAGGTGGGTTTGTAGCCTCCCTGGAGCAAGTATCCAGGGCTTCATGGAGGGCACTGTACGAATAGATTGCTTCTGGCTCCATTTCATTTTTCTACCCTTATTTTCCCTTGAATGGAGAAATGAGACAAAGGCTATAACACATGTGGGTGCAGGTGACATTGGTCACGTGGTGGAGACTCTTTCTTTATAGTTTATGATTGTATGCGTTTGGTTTTTCATAACAACCAATGTATTGAAAATCTCCTGTTTGACAGACTTTACAAAAACATTCAGTGCTTTAACTTCTGTCATCCCAATAATGACCTTAGAAGTCAGGTGGTATTATTTTCCTCATTTGCCAGTGGAGGAATGGAGGCCCAGAGGGCTTCATCCTTGCCCAAGATCGAATGAACACAGAAAGGCAGACGTGGACTTTGAATCGAAGCCATCTGTCTAGAACCTGTGGGAAAGAGTTAACTTCAAGGCCAAAATGGGGAAATCTCTGAAAGAAATAAAGCAGGTACACAATTCACAGTTCTAGCGCCGGAAAGTGCGATGGAAGGGAAATGGAATCGGAGGGGTGAGGAGAAGACGTGGAACGATATAATTGTTAGTAGATGGTGGATATGAATTGTTCAGTGGGGAAGAGTATACACTGTATGATATCCTATCACTTTGCTCTCCGACTAACTCACAGGATGAGCACGACAGCTGTCAGCTTTTCAATCAGAAAGGGCAAATGTTAGAAAGAACACTTGGAAGTCAGATCATTGAACTTGTGGTTCTCTTTAAGGCTTCAGTGAAGTGATTACATCTTAACAAAGAACCAGCAATAGAATCTTAAACTTTCCTGAGAGCAAAGTATTTGCCTTGTCATTGTTCCCATAAGTATATCTTTACAACTTCCTTGTTTGATATCCTGTAATTCATTTTCAACATGTGGGGAGCAAACCAACTCGAGCTGTTCCTTCCCGAGGAATTGGAGCTGTGCGGTCAAGAGGGCGCTGGCTGTCTTGGGGGGGCTGTTCTTTGCGTAGGAGCAAACTGCACTCATCAGAATTTCAAGGAGCTGTCTGTCCTGAGCTGGTTGGGTGGGATGGCTACTTTTTGGTGTGTCCCCCCCAACATCTCTCAATGCTTTACTTTCCTTCAAGAAATTTCCCTTTTGGAAAAGTCAACTTTTCCAAGGTTTAACCCTCTCAGTATCCTAGATTTTTTTTTTTTACTACCTTTTAAATTCGAAAAGACATCTTTGATGAGAGAGTATGTACTTCACAGGGGGAAAAAGCACATCCAAATACAACTCCTGCTGACTCAAGGACCTTCTGATCTGGTAATGGCAGGGTTAATGTGGGGGCCCATGAATTTGCAGATGAAGATCCTAAAGGATATGTTGAATTGGAGGGGGTTGAGGAAGCAAATTTCCTGATAGTGCAATTGGAGGAAACAGAGTATATAAATGCAGGATGTTGATTTACTTAGCATAAAAAAGAAAACAGCTCATGGAAAGCATCAAGAATCTCAGAACATTGGGGCGCCTGGGTGGCTCAGTCATTAAGCGTCTGCCTTCAGCTCAGGTCATGATCCCAGGGTCCTGGGATCGAGCCCCGCATCGAGCCCCGCATCGAGCCCCGCATCGAGCCCCGCATCGAGCCCCGCATCGAGCCCCGCATCGGGCTCTCTGCTCAGTGGGGAGCCTGCTTCTCCCTCTCCCACTCTGCCTGCTTGTGTTCCCTCTCTCACTGTCTCTCTCTGTCAAATAAATAAATAAAATCTTAAAAAAAAAAAAGAATCTCAGAACATTACTCCTGAAAATGACTCATTAGCAGAGGACACCTTGCTTTTTGTTCATTTTCCCTTGCCCAAATGTGCCTAACATTCAAAGGGGGGGAAAAGATCTGTGTCTTCATTCTTTATTTTATTGGTTTAATGTTGGTTTTATATTTGGTTTAATACTGTTGGTTTTATATTGTTTTTTCCCCCCAGTTTTACTGAAGTATCTTTGGCATATAACCTTGTATTAGTGTGTAACATAGTGATTTGATACATGTATATATTGCAAAATGATCACAATAAGTTCATTAACATACATCACCTCACGTAGTTACAATTTTTTTTTCTTGTGATGACAACTCTCTTACCAACTTTCGAATATACGATACGGCATTGTTAACTATGGTCACCATGCTGTACGTTACATCCTCAGACCTTATATCTGGAAGCTTCAATCTTTTGATCCCCTTTCCCCCATCCTCCATCCCCACCCCTACCCCTCACCTCTGGCAACCACTGATCTGTTTTCTGTATCGATAAGTTCAGTTTTTTTTTTTTTTTTAAGATTCCACATATAAGTGAGATCATACAGTATTTGTCTTTCTCTGTCTGACTCATTTCACTTAGCATAATGCCCTCAGCATCCATCTGTGTGTCACAAATGGCAAGATTTTTTTCTTTTTCATGGGTGAATAATAATCTGTGTGTGTGTGTATGTGTGTGTGTGTCACATTTTCATTATCTGTTCATCCTTTGATGGACACTTAGGTTTTTTCTATGTCTTAGTTATTGTAAATAATGCTGCAATGAACATGGGGGTACAGTCAGCTTTTTGAGAGTGATTTCATTTTCTTTGAATTATTGCTATTTTTCATTGTAGTAAAATACATATATAACATAGAATTGGCCATCTTAGGGGTGCATGGGTGGCTCAGTCGGTTAAGCATCTGCCTTTGGCTCAGGTCATGATCTCAGGGTCCTGGGATGAGCCCTGTGTGGGGCTCCCTGCTGAGCAGGGAGCCTGCTTTTCCCTCTCCCTCTGCCCCTCCCCCCCCCCCCGCTTGCTCTCTCTAGCTTTCTCTCTCAAATAAATAAATAAAATCTTTTTTAAAAATTGGCCATTTAACCATTTTTAAGTGTACAGTTTAGTGGTTTTTAAAAATTCTTTAAGTACTTGAAGGTATATAAATATTTTAAAGGGCATAGAATGTATTTTATTTTTCATATATAATTTTCCTAAATCTATATGCCCATGTTAAGTATCCTAGGAATACAGAATCTATACCTAATAAGTGTGTAATTGATATTCCATGTTGCAGAATGTTAATGCAGACATATTTTATTATAACATAAATCAAGTAGTGCATTTTCCCCTATATTAGTAGGTTTGATACCAGGAAATAAGTTTCCTTAGAAAATAAGTTTGACCCAGCATCCTGGGATCAAGCTGGATGGCTCAGTTGGTTAAGCATCTGCCTTCAGCTCATGTCATGATCCCAGGGTCCTGGGGTCAAGCCCTGTGTCAGGGCTCCTTGCTCAGCAGGGAGCCTGCTTCTCCCTTTACCTGCTGCTCCCCCTGCTTGTGCTCTCTCTCTCTCTCTGTCAAATAAATAAGTAAAATCTTAAAAAAAAGAAAAGAAGTTTGAAAGTTGTTTTTTTTTTTTTAAATCTTCCTTTCCCATGTGGACAATAAAAACTTGATACCAGTTTATTTGTGAGCAGATGGAGAACACCCTGGTTCTGGGCAAGCCTGGGTGGGCCCAGATCAAAGAAAAATCTGGGAGGGACAGGGTGTGGGTAGTGAGTTGGGGCCAGTAGGGGTCTAGGACCCAAACCAGGCTCTCTTGGACAATACTTTAACTTGCCCCTTTGCAAAGCTTGCGTTTTCAAGTTCAAGCAGAGACAATTCATTGTTCAATCCAACATCATTGTTACACCAGAAGGTAGGTGCCCATTGCACATTGGAAAGGAGCCTAAAGTGAGTTCCTTGAATGGTCCATCGTGAGCATATTTGTGATCAATACCAGATTCTGTGCCTAGACTGGGTGTAGGGGTGCCTTCTGGTTGAAATGGCTGGGGGAGGATGGGGGCGCAGGGCCTTGACCTGAAATTGCCTTTGCATGACAAGGTTAGTGTCTTTACTTACATTTGTGTGTGCATGTGGGGTGCCTGGGGGAAGACAAAGAGATTACTGGGGAGCAGGGAGCCTGAAAAGCCACGCTGGGCATGCTCATGGAACCAGTTGTATACTTTTAAATGAAACTCATCATATAATCTTCACTGCAAACCTGCAAGGCAGAAATTATTATGCCCATTTTACAGATACAGAAATTGAGGTTATAAACTAAGGTCACAGAGTTCAGTGGCAGAGTTGAAATTCTTTATCCAGTTCTGTCGCACTCCAAAGCCCTCGGTACTCAGTTCTCCCACCTCTGAGGCAGACATCCCTCTGTCCCTGTCCAGCGTGCCCCCGTTTGCTGTGGAACAACTAAGAGCATTTACTTTAGGGTCTGGAAGGCATTTCTCTTGGTAGTCCTCTGCAGGCAACTGCATTCTCCAAGGAGTGGGGGGTGCACCTGTGATGACCGTGGCTTTGAGTAGCCCAGCGTGGGTGGGGGCGTGGGTCTTGCTGCGCGCAGACTCGCGCAGACTCACGCGGAGTAACAGCTGTTTGTGACTCTCTCTCTAGGAGTTAGCTGTCCCCGTGGTCCACGATGGCGGTGCCCTCTTGGCTTTTGTCTGCGGTGTGGTCTACACGCTCCTGCAGTCCATCATCTCTTACAAATCATGTCCCCAGTGGAACAGCCTGTCCACATGCCACGTGCGGCTGGCCATCTCTGCTGTTTCCTGTGCAGCCGTGGTCCCCAGTATCCTTTACACATTTGTCAGAGTCTTCACAGGCTTGACCCTTCTCCCACTCCACCAAAAGAGTATGAAAAAAAGCAAAGGTTAACAGCCCGGTTTCCACGTGCTTCAGGAGAACGATTGGGAGAAAAGTGTAGGTCGTTAAGAAAATATCTCAACATTGTCTGGTTAGCTCAAAACAATCTTTGGGGGGAATGTGTGCAAGGAGAATGGAAACATGTCGAAACACTTTAGTCTGTTTACTTTCCTTCCAACAGGGAAAGTTTCATAAGCAATGGGAAAATATTTATTTTTCTTTGTAGTGCTTGGTCAAAGGCACCAAATATTGATACTGTACTTAAAGTAACAGCCCTGTGAAGTCCCAAGAGGCAGTACTCTGCCCTCACCCTGCACGTTGATGATTCATTAGATGGTTCGATTTACCCGTCTGTGTTGAGAGGTTTTAAAAAGCTCTATCATTTATTTCTAAGGCAGTTGAAATACGTTTAGCCTTCTCTTGTTATCACTGATTCCAGTTGCAAAATGAAATCTCATTCCATTTTCTAATTCAACAATGTGAAAAGAAAGTATCAATTTATATGCCTGTGCGTTCTGGTTTAGAGGAAATGAAAGCTTGATCTTTCTCTCTTTCTAGAGGTATTTAACAGAAAAAAAAAAAGCTGTGTCTTTAAGATGTGGAAAATTCCCCATCTTTCGAAATACCGTCTGCAGTCCTATCAGACAAAAACTGCAGAGCCATCAAAAGATGGTGATTCCTGTCAGACTGTAGGAAAATAACAACTATTTTATTAGCAGAAACTTTCTTAGTCTGGATTGGGTTGTGGTATAAAGTGGGCAAGCTTGAGTGAAAATGCACCATGTGCTTCTAAATAGTAAGTTTTGCATTTCTCTTTTAAAACAGAAGCTATACAAAATGTGAAGCCTAAGTACGGTTTTGGGTTTTGGTTTTTTTTTTTTTTTTTTCATCTTAGGGAAGGAAATTTTTAGTTACAAAATTTCTAAGCACAGAGGAAGCAAATCCTTCTGTTGAGAAATTTAAACAAAATACATACCCTTGTTACAAAGATAGTTCCTTCGCAATTTCCCTGTCCTATTTATGGATTGAAGACACTCATGTTTCTCTCCAAATATATCCACTTAAAACTTTTAGCTTGTGTTAGTTGTAAAATTTATAGTAGCAATGTTCGTAGTGTTAAAGCCAAAGTTTCTTGGTGTAGGAAACCTTTGCTTGCTTCCAACTTGAGAGGCACATCTTTAGATGTTAAAATCAGAGAGAATTTGGGGCGCCTGGGTGGCTCAGTTGGTTGAGCGACTGCCTTCAGCTCAGGTCATGGTCCTGGAGTCCCGGGATCGAGTCCCACATCGGGCTCCCTGCTCGGTAGAGAGTCTGCTTCTCCCTGTGACCCTCCTTCCTCTCATGTTCTCTGTCTCTCATTGTCTCTCTCGCAAATAAATAAAATCTCAAGAAAAAAAAAAAAAAAGTAAAATCAGAGAGAATTTTAGCAAAAATAAGCATTTCAGGCCTAAGAGTTTCACATACAAATAGCTCCCATTTCTAGGTGATTCTTAGGAGCCATGCCAAGGGATTGCATCCCCAAGCAGAAACAGGTCATGTCCCTGTATTAAATCAACTCGAATGAATTAATCCGTATGGAAAGGTCTTTTGTCCTAAGCATTAGCATAGTATTTATATTTCTTTCCAAAGATTTCAAAATATCTTTAAAATGCCCTTGTCTCTTCTTACTGTAATATTTCTGTGAAACATCCTCACTTGACTAATGAAGAAACTGAAGCAAAGATGAGGCAGTTGCTAGGATCTTGCTTCTAGGCCCTCCCTGCGAGACTATCCATTTTGCTCCTGGCTTCTAACACTTTCAAAAGCCTTCACAAAATCACTAACAGCATAAAGCCCAGGTTCCTTCGCTTGAGACACATAGCCTGAGACTGCCTATTGAGTATTTTTTTTAAGATTTTATTGATTTACTTGTTTTCGCGAGAGAGAGAGAATCTCAGACTCCTCACTGTGCTCAGAGCCCCATGTGGGACTTGACCTCACGACCCATGAGATCATGACCTGAGCTGAAACCCAGAGTCAGCACTTAACAGACTGAGCCACCCACGTGCCCCATGAGACTGCCTGTATTTTTTACCTCGTTCTTACATGGTCTCCCCTGGACTTGCCCGTTTCCTGTTCTCTGCTTTTGCCCATTCTGTTCTCCCTGGCTGGATTCTCCTCCTCCACCTTGTTTTCTAGAGCTGAGCTGTCCAGTGTGGCTACATGGGGCTACTGAGCACTTGAAATGTGGCTGGTTCACATGGAGACATGCAGCTAAGTATAAAAACCACACTGATTTCAAAGATTTAAGAAGAAGAAAAGGAGAATGTAAAATATCTCATTATTAATTCTTTATATTAGTACATGTTGAAATGATAATATTTTTGATATATTGGGTTAGATAAGATATATTATTAAAATTAATTTCATTTGGTTCTATTTTATTTTTAAGTAACCTCTACACCCAACATGTGGCCCAACCTCCCAATCCTGAGATCAAGAGTCACATGCTCTACCGACTGAGCCAGCCAGGCGCCCCTCATTTGGTTCTTTTTAGTTTTTTTTTAGTGTAGCTACTATAGTAGAATTTTTTTTTTTAAAGGAGATAGAAGTTTATTGAAGGGAGAAGCGGGTAGGGCAGCAGAGGAGAGGCTATCTGCCTATGGGAGAGCATTTTACAGGGGCACCTGGGTGGCTCAGTCGTTGAGCGTCTGCCTTCGGCTCAGGTCATGATCCCAGGGTCCTGGGATCGAGCCCCTCAGTGGGAGCCTGCTTCTCCCTCTCCTACTCCCCCTGCTTGTGCTCCTGCTCTTGCTATCTCTCTCTCAAATAAATAAATAAAATCTTTAAAAAAAAAGAATATTTTACATTACACATGTGGCTGGCATTAATTTCCGGGGTGACGCTGCTCTAGAGAGCTCCTCAAGCCTCAACTTACATTAGGCTCAACTCAGTGAAGCCTTTCCTGACCCCTAAAATCCCATTCCACTCTGAATTCATAATTTTCCCTCTGAGTCATCATCATGCCCTATTCTTTTCTGTCTTAATGCAGCACATTCCCTGGGCTTCATCTGACAAGGCTGTGATGTTTCCAAGAGCTGACACCAAGTCTGTTTTGCCAGAGTTTTCTGTCTCCCCCTTCCTCCCCACTAGCATGGTACCTGGTGCACAGAAGATAGGACTCGAGAACAAAGAGTTAAGAGGCTTTTAAACTATTAGAAACAGAAATATGGTAATGACATGATCAGAGAATCTTTTATTTTGAGAAACCAAGAAGTGTTAAGAATTGCAAAATATTGGGGGGTAGGGAGGGCAGGGAGAGGAGGTGCTGACTCTGAATTCGGAGGAAGTTCTAAACTTGGCATTGACTCAAAGCTTTGAATTCATAACTGTTTGCAAAAGCATTTTAAGATCATCTCATCTCTAGCTTTCTCTTTTGCCTTTATAAGCTCCATCAGAATGGCTGTCATGGCTCTTTTGCAGACAGCCCATGGAGGCTCTAGCCTCAGTCCCTGGCACTGTTTGGCCTCTCTGGGTATTCCTGAAGGTCAGAGGTAGGATGTATCTCTTTGATTTGTAAACCCTTTAGGCCTGGAAGGAAGGACTCCGTTTATACCCAAGGACTTGATGGAATAAGTCTGTTTTTTTAAAGACAGTAGTGTGAATCTGTAGTTTGTTTTTGTAGAGGGACCTTGGTAGTTTGTGATGCTTTGATACTTGTTAATGATAAATGTTAATTTTTCCTTAAAGCTGTTGCCTTGAAAATAGGATTTTAGGGAAAGAGTATTTTTATTCAATACTTTTATTTAGGGAAAATAGTATTTTAGGTAAAAAGTACCCATCTGTCATTTTGACCAAATTTAAAAAGCACATTGGAGCAAAATGGAGCCACAGAAGAAAATTTGACTATACGTAACCGAAAAGGTATTGCTATGGAACGACTATAAGTCCATGTTATAATTTAAATGCTATCACAATTGAACTTAAGCTTTGAGATTATAAGAAGCTGACATAACATTTCTGATTGCAGAAATGTTGGTATTAACATTTTAACACCGTGTGATGATTATTAGAAGAATAGTCTTAACATTAAAATACCTGTATTTTTTTTGGAGCTTCCTTAACGATTTCCCTTTTTTAGTGATTGCCTGTGCTTCATTAATTTCTATAACCAAGCTGGAGTGGAATCCCAAAGAAAAGGTAAAATTTAACTCATCTTCAATATGATTGTTGAACCTGGTGCCTGGGGATTATTTTCAAAATTTTGAGTTCCTAATTGAATTTCCTCATCAAAAGAGGTCAGACACTTAATGGTAGGGGCTGCTGTGAATTAAGGTGTATGGAGGTCCAAGGAACGCGGGGAGTGGTGAGCAGAGAGGATGAGACCCGCTCCAGCACAGAGGGCTTTTGTTTCAGGATGAACTAGAGAATAAACTATCTGTGCGGGCGAGGAGTTTGTGCAAAGCTCCAAGAGGTAGGCAGAGAGGCTCCTTCTCGACGTAGGTGACCCAAATAAGCTTTTGAAGCCTTTTGAACAGGCAAGTACATTGAAAGAGTATTAGCGGGTACCTATTACTCAGAAGCAACCCTGGGATGAAGGACTGAGGAGAGAGCCTGGAGTTAGGGTGGCAGGGAGAAGGCAGTTCTCTAGTTTAGATTTCAAATCAGGATTGGCCTAGGGGGCTCAACATCACTCATCATCAGGGAAATGCAGATCAAAACCACGATGAGATAGCACCTCACACCTGTCAGAATGGCTAAAATCAACAACACAAGAAACAACAAGTGTTGGTGGGGATGTGGAGAAAAAGGAACCCTCGTGCATTGGTGGTGGGAATGCAAACTGGTGCCTCCACTGTGGAAAACAGTATGGAGATTCCTCAAAAAGTTAAAAATAGAACTAGCATATGATCCAGTCATCACAGTACTGGGTATTTACCCCCAAAATACAAAAACACTAATTCGAAGAGATACATGCACCCCTATGTTTATTGCAGCATTATCTACAATAGCCAAATGATGGAAGTAGCCCAAATGTCCATCCATAGATGAATGGACAAAGAAGATGTGGTATATATACACAATGAAATATTACTCAGCCATAAAAAGAATGAAATCTTGCCATTTGCAACGACATGGTTGGAGCTAGCGAGTATAATGCTAAGCGAATAAGTCCGAGAAAGACAAAAAACATATGATTTTACTCATATATATATGGAATTTAAGAAACAAAACAAACGGACAAAGGAAAAAAAAGTGAGAAAGAGAGAGACAAACCAAGAAACAGACTCTTAATTATAGAGAACAAACTGATGGTTATTGGAGGCACAGTGGGTGGGGGGGGATGGGTGAAACAGGTGAGGGGGATTAAGGAGGGCACTTGCTGTGATGAGCACCAGGTGATGTATGGAAGTGTTGAATCACGATGTTGTACACCTGAAACTAATATAACACTATGTTAACTATACAGAAATTAAAATTAAAAACTTTAAAAAAGTGAATAAAAAAAAGGTTAGCCTAGGGTAGAAGTATGAAGGGGAAATATTCATGGGCGTTGGCAAGTGACAGACATGAGAATAGAAGGACATGAATCAAAGAGGACTTTCAGATGTTATCTTGGGGGAAGCAAAGAATCTGTCCCCGTGAGCAGAGAGAAGCAGAGTCCCAAACAGGAATAAATGATTCCATGAGGGGAAGGTGGGTGGGTTTGGGTTTAGAACTGTTGAATCTGAGGCTATAGTGAAACATTAAGGAGAACTGCCCAGTTACTTGTGGGACTAGACCCGTGGGGGTACTGGGAACCATCAGGACACAGAGCATTTCCAGCCCAAACATCAGAACACCTGGAACTGAATGTTTGGAATTGAGATGGACTCATGCCACGAGGTACGCATAGTGGTGGCTCATCTAGATGCCATATGGGGAATGAATGATGCCCAGGAGAGGGGAGTTGGTGGGAGAACAGCAGTTTGTTTTTCAAGGGGCAGGGTAGTTACTGATGTTTTTCCAAAAAGCAGTTTCAGTAAAATGTTGGCTTTAGGCCAATTGCAGGAGTGTAAAGAAATGGTGAGAGGGGTGGTTCATTCATTCAGCTATATGAATGTTTGGAGGTGAGAGGAAGAGGAGAAATAACATGGTGGCTAGAGGGCCAGTGGGATCAGGGGATTTTCCATGGCAGGATTCTGGCATGTGATGGGAGCCTGCAGGAGACTACGGAGAAGGGGCACCTGGGTGGCTCAGTCGGTGAAGCATCTGCCTTCAGCTCAAGTCACGATCTTAGTGTCCTGGGATCCAGCCCTGCTTCCCGCTCCCTGTTCAGCGGGGAGTCCGCTTCTCCCTCTGCCTCCTCGCTCTGGGATCATTCTCTTCCTCACCACCTTAGTCTCTCGAGACTGAAGAGGGTGAGGAAAAGAATGATCCAGGCAGAAGTTTAAAAAAAAAAAGTCCTTTCTGAAAGCGAGACCTCACAGCAAGGTGGCTTTGGATGTACTTTACCAGTTCAGCCACTGGAGGGAGACCTTCCACCACAAATCAAACACAAAACCAGCTGCTGGGAAGGATTCATCAGACTATATCCCCCAGGCAATTAAAAATTGTTTTTCATTTCATTTTCTATCTTAAAAATGTGAAAAGTACCTCATTTTCTGCTCACGCCATAAATTACCATGCCGCTCTTGTATTGCTTTCTGTTCCCAGTATCAATGAATGCACACAAAACCCTTTACATGAATTCACTGAATGGAATAATGGCTTAGGTACTGCCCCAAACTTCTGTGGCGTGCTTGGAGCTTGTGTAGCACATTCCTGTGCATTCACTTACTTGCTAGGGATGGTGAGAATTCTAATATCATTCTCTCATGTCATGTGGCAAGGAGATTAGAGCTTTGCCTGCATTCCCACAAGTGTAGTGGAAGAGTCTGCACTCCTAGTTCAGTGTGCTTTCATTAAATACGCTAAAGAAATCTTCCTCCCCCAATTCTGTTTCTATTTTTATAAGCCATCTTCACTGTCCGAGAACGATAAAGGATGAGGTGGATCTCCTGGTAAGGTCACCAAAAGGAGGTGGGGGCCTCAGTTCTCTACCTCCAGCGTAGGCTGATCTGGTTCTCCCTAGTGTGAGCTGGATGAGGACAGGGATGGATATGAACGTGCATGGGGAGAGTGAGGAGTGCTCTCTGTGAGAGTTTGATGCACCGCAGTGAAATCTTCATGGATGAAAACTGTATCAGAGAAAGCACCTGTCACCATGGAACCAACCTGCAGCCCACCATATTTGTGTATTCATGCGTGTAACCTATAGCAGAGCAGAGTGAAGTCTGAAAAAAAATAGGTCACTATTTGAAATCAGAGAACTGATGACAGTCCACAGGCCTAATCTGGCATGTGGGCTCAAGTCAGAATGCAGACATGCAGTTTGCACTCAGTGTTTATTTTATTATAGTTAAGTAGGTTCCACACCCAGCGTGGAACTCACAACCGGGGCTTGAACTCTCAACCCTGAGATCAAGACTTGAGCTGAGATCAAGAGTCAGACACCTAACTGGCTAAGCCCCCCAGGCCACCTTTGGATGGTGTTTAAAAATGCTTTTACAGTAATTTACTGCATTTAAAAATCAGGAGAGATCACACCACACACACACACACACACACACACACAGGCTTTTTTCTTAATCTCTCAGAGCAACACGGGGGTTATATTTTCCCATTTGGTGAAAATGGAATTGAGCTGATGAGGAGTGGGTTCCCCGTCCTCCCTCTCTTTTTGCAGCCATCAGTTCCATTTATTTTTATTCTCTGGCCTCCATAGGAGGAACCCCCAATTAAAGCCTCCACTCTTGCTTTCCATTCTCTCATCTCTGCCCCCAATAAGGTAAGTTACCATATTGATGTCTCCTTAGCTTTTGCTCTGTGGCTGTGTTCCGATAGGACCTTTTCTGTAGTAACAGAGAAACACAACACCCGTGGAGATAGCCATTGTCCTCTGCGTGCGAGCACTCATTCTTTTTAATAAGGGCCCACAAGCTGACTCGATGTTTTTTAAGCATGCATTTCAACTTTGGGATTCCTAGCAGTGGGAGAGCAAGTCACGCCTTGAGTGGAAAGATTTTCTTCTCTCTCTCTCTCTTTTTTTAAGATTTTATTTATTCATTCGAGAGACAGAGATACAGAGAGAGAGAGCATGAGCAGGGAGAGAGGCAGAGGGAGAGGGAGAAGCAGTCTCCCCGCTGAGCCAGGAGCCCATTGTGGGGCTCGATGTGGGGTTCGATCCCAGGACCCTGGGATCATGACCTGAGGCTAAGGCAGATGCTTAGCCATCTGAGCTACCCAGGCGCCCCAGTTTTTTCTTCTCTTGAGTCCAAATTTGCTTCCCATTCTCAGCCATTCTGTGGCCCTTATTCTGCCTTTTTTTTTTTTTTAAGATTTTTTATTTATTTATTTGACAGAGAGAGACACAGTGAGAGAGAGAACACAAGTAGGGGGAGTGGAAGAGGGAGAAGCAGGCTCCCCGCTGAGCAGGGAGCCCGATGTGGGGCTTGATCCCAGGACCCTGGGATCATGACCTGAGCCGAAGGCAGACGCTTAATGACTGAGCCACCCAGGTGCCCCTATTCTGCCTTTTTGAAGTGCATAGACTAAGTCTTAAAACCAGAGTGCATGAGAGCCTGAAGAACTTTTGGGATAATTGCGTTCATGTTCACATTGGGCAGGTGCCCTGATGTTCATCCACCTGGCCTTGCTCACTGCGTTTTCTCAAGGGGTTGACTTATGCTCACCCGACAACTTTCCTCTCTGGTCTGACCAGCTTTTTATTTCAGTACATACACTACAGTGAATGTATTTCCGCTAAATTCTGTTTCTTTATTGTTGCTTTTAGGATTATATATATCACGTAGTGAGTGCAATCTGCGAATGGACAGTGGCCTTTGGTTTCATTTTTTACTTCCTAACATTCATCCACGATTTCCAGGTAGGTATTTACCGGTTCATATGTTATAAATTGCTGACAGTTAGGGTTAGGAGAATGCCATAGAACATTTCTTACACTTAAAAAAAGTAAGAGCGCTATCTTTTTACCCTTATGTGTTTGAAAAGATATGTAAATATCATACAGTTTAGTTTATTCCCTAAGGGAAGCATCTCTAACAGCTCTCCCAAACAATGACATTTTCATATGTTCTCTGCCCCCTTATTGCTCATAGTCATAGATCCTGGTTATTAGCTTTCTGAGGAGGCCTTGCTGACTAGTTCCAAGTAAAAGGAAATATGTCCTTTTAATAAAAGTTTGTTGTTGAAAAATGTTTCCAAGGCAGAGAGTAGGTGGGACCTTATCAGGTTTGAGAACAGAGAAAATCATACATTTTGAAACAAGTGAATTCTTAGCTAAAAGGATATAGAAAACCAAGAAAATTCTTTCAGACCCAACTCAAACTCTGCCGAAACCGTAGTGAGGTTATCTCGGAAGGGTGTGTGCGGAGCTGTGGGGAGTTGGTTGCTGGCACTGGTTTACCTTCTTTGAAACCTTTTTCTTTTGTTTTTAATAGAGTGTCACCCTAAGAATATCCACAGAAATCAATGATGATGTTTGAAGAAAGAAGAATGATATCTCACTCAGTGAGAGTCGCAGACAATTTCTGGAAGTGGTAGGGAGGACAGACAGGGTTTCAATGTTGCTCTGAGTGGAATGTATCTGCGGCACGTCCACGACTTGAATTTCTTTAAGAATTCCCAATAGTTGTACTATTTCCAAAGGTATGTTTTCCTAGAGAATGTAGAGCATATACGGCATTGTAGCAATGTTTTTATAATTTTCCAAGTAGACACTTTTTTTACATGAACAAATTCATACGGAAAAGAGAAGGTGTTACAGAAAATGGAGAGCTCTTATTTTTGCACAGATTCTGTTTTGTGTTTTCTTTGTGTGTAAGTGATTTGTGGGAATACACTAAATGAGGAATTCACTAACAAGTAAAATCAGGGCATATTCATTTTTAAATTTTATTTTTAGAGAATGAACAGTCTAATTTTATATCATGATAGCATTTATAAAGTTTGATTTATAACAATCATAAAGATTTAGGTAACAAATGAACACTAACAAGGATACTCTGATTTTTAAGTGAACTAAGCAAAATGCTTCTATCGAAAGGCCTTACTGACTCTCTCTCTATGCACATTAACTCTAAGTGAACACAGAGTACCTCAGTTTTTAAATTCCGTCCCCTGGGGGCCTCCCTGCTCACAGAGCCACAGCTTTTACCCTTGCTGCCAGCTGGCATTCCATAGTGGGCCCAATTCCAGATGAGATGAATTCAGCAAAACAGATTAAAAAAGCCTTAGAACAACGATAAAGTGGAGGTGAGCACCTGACAAGGAAAACCACACTGGATTCCGGATTGTTGTCCTGGCTGGATAAGCAAGGAGGGAAAGTATCTCAGGGACCATTTGTCGAAGGCAAGATTATGGAAAGAGACCTTTGGTTAATACTAAACCTCCGCAAAAGCCAATCTGTGAAAAACATTAAAAAGACCATTAGTAAAACCACCCTTTATTGTCACTGGCATAAAGTGATCTACATACAGTCTGACTCAGAAGCTGAAACTCACATCTGAAATTCATTTCTTGCCACTAAACCTGTGGAAGAGAATGTAGGTCTGAGACAGAGGAGAAAGAGAGGGTGCAGAGTGCAGGTTATTTACTCCTTCTTTTAATGCCCGTGGCTGGATGTTTGCACATTGTATGAAATGGGAGTCGGTCCTTTATTAAGCATGACCGACAGACTCCTCCTTCTCACCCAAAGCACAAATGACAAAGGAAAAGCAAATTTTTCCAGAGCAAGAAGTGGGCCTTGACAGCAACCTCTTTGACCTCAGCCGCAGCAACTTCTTCCTAGAAACATCGCCAAAGGCAAGGGAAGCAAGGGCAAAAATGAACTATTGGGACTTCATCAAGAAAAAGCTTTTGCTCAGCAAAGGAACCAGTCAACAAAACCAAAAGACAACTGACAGAATGGGAGAAGATATTTGCAAATGACATATCAAATAAAAGGCTAGTATCCAAAATCTATAAAGAACTTATCAAACTCAACACCCAAAGAACAAATAATCCAATCAAGAAATGGGCAGAAGGCATGAACAGACATTTCTGCAAAGAAGACATCCAAATGGCCAACAGACACATGAAAAAGTGCTCAACGTCGCTTGGCATCAGGGAAATCCAAATCAAAACCTCAATGAGATACCACCTCACACCAGTCAGAGTGGCTAAAATTAACAAGTCAGGAAATAACAGATGTTGGCGAGGATGTGGAGAAAGGAGAACCCTCTTACACTGTTGGTGGGAATGCAAGCTGGTGCAGCCACTCTGGAAAACAGTATGGAGGTTCCTCAAAAAGTTGAAAACAGAGCTACCGTATGACCCAGCAATTGCACTACTGGGTATTTACCCCAAAGATACAAATGCAGTGATCCAAAGGGGCACATGCACCCCAATGTTTATAGCAGCAATGTCCACAATTGCCAAACTATGGAAAGAGTCTAGATGTCCATCAACAGATGAAAGAATAAAGAAGATGTGGTATATATACACAATGGAATAGTATGCAGCCATCAAAAAATGAAATCTTGTCATTTGCAATGACGTGGATGGAACTGGAGGGTATTATGCTGAGCGAAATAAGTCAATCAGAGAAGTATCATATGATCTCACTGATATGAGGAATTTAAGAAACAAGACAGAGGATCATAGGGGAAGGAAGGGAAAAATGAAACAAGATGAAACCCGAGAGAGAGAGACAAACCATAAGAGACTCTTAATCTCAGGAAACAACCTGAGTGTTGCTGGAGTGGAGGGGGTGGCAGGGATGGGGTGGCTGGGCGATGGACACTGGAGAGGGTATGTACTATGTTGAGCGCTGTGAATTGTGTTAAGACTGATGAATCACAGACCTGTACCTCTGAAACAAATAATACATTGCATGTTAATAAAAAAAAATTAAAAAAAAAAGAAGTGGACCTTGAAATGTTAAGGCTTAGATCTGAAAGTTGAAGAGAAGGCTTTGCTTTGAAGACCCTCCAGACTACAAATCTGCATCCGGCCAAGTGGGTGCAGACCTTGAGGGTGTATGCCAAAGGCAGAGCAGCCCACCTAGACAGCCTGAGAGGGAATCTGGGAGTGGGGAGCACATCATGACTCCTCAGTAACTATCTGTCAAGTGAATGAAGCAGTCAGCCCCCTCTGCAATGACAAACTGTGTCCCCTGTGCATTCAGCAGTGAGAACCCCATAACCATGTCTGAGTCTGTTGCAACTTGTAATGCTGTGGCCCCTCACAGTAGCACTGGAAGTGGAAGACTGATTGAAACTACGTCAAGCATTCCTTATTCTGAAGACGGGGGGAGAAGTGTCACTTAGCTGTGCCAACGAACCTGTAGGAGAATGAATCCATGGTTGGGACTCACTTGGAACAGACTTTTCTTCCCTGCACTTCTCATGATGCATTGCCATTCTTCATTTCCTTATCTCTCTGCGAGATAGATTGGGATCTCCTTGAGGGCAGAGTATGGGCCTTAATCTTTAACTTTGTAACTCCAGTGTTTACCAGGGTGCCTCCTGGTCCATAGTAGGTGCTTAATCAATATCACTGAATGCATGAATGAATGAACAGAGGAAGGCATGACTAGGGATATTTGTAGTGCTGCATAATGAGATTTACACTGGTACACTGCTTACTAGTGAAGCAATAAATGAATAGTATCATTTATAATACTATTATAAATGAACTGTATCACCCAGTAATGTTGACTGTTTTGCTTTGTGTACTGTAAACATTTCAGTTGTTTGGGCTTCACCACTCTAGGACAACTCTCTTCAACCTGGACAGTTACCACCGAAATTGTTAGATGGGCTAGACAAAATGGTACACCTGGCTTGGCAAACTGAGAACACCAAAAATAACTGCAGACAATCACATTCTACTGATTCCACGAAACCTCTAAAGCTGGTTTTATCCACATTTCGGTATTATTTCTAATTTCCATGAACTTGCATTTCCTTGGACCTCACGGCTGAAAGAGTAAAATAAAATGAAATATTTCTTTATTTTTTTTATTTTGTGTCTCAGTTCAATTACAACATGTCGACTAAGTACTACTATGAAGTCTATATACCCAGGAGACAATTGTAGTTCCACTTGGACCCCCATAAAGACAGTTTAAACCTTATGTTTTCTTAATTCTTGTAGCTTTGCATGTGGGCTCAGTGGTTCATCTTTGTAGAGATTCCAACATTAGTATCAGAAGTTTGCATCAGTCTAGACTCTTAGAGGTGAAGGCACCAGAAATCCAACTCAAATGTGTTGAGGAAGAAAGAGGCATCTATTGACTCAAGTCCAGGGGTGGAGTTGGCTTCAGGGATGGCTGGATCCAAAAGTGGTAGCAGAACCCCCTCCTTCTCCTAGCTCTACTTTTTCTCTCCATTGGCATCATTCGCAGGCAGGTTTTTCCCCTGATGGGAGTGAGATGGCTTCTAGAAGCCTGAGGGTGACAACCTGTCCAGTGGAAAGAGGGGACCCCTCCAGAGTTGCACAAAAGCCCTTGAGCTGAAGCTCATTGTCTCTGATTGGCTGGCTTGGGTCACATGGCCATCCCCGCTCAGGGAGGTCTGATGCTCTGATTAGTCAGCCCTGTTTCATGTGTCCCCCTCTGGAGCAGGGCGGGGTCAGCAGTGTCCGAAATGTGGGGCTGGTGGTGGGTGAAAGTTGTTTCTCAGAAGAAAGGAATGGGGAATGGGTCTGGGACAGACTCAAAGCAGTAGATAACCCCCCCCCGCCCCCCCACCACCAGGAAAGACAACCTAACTTGTTTCAGGGTAAATCAAATTATACTTGCTGACAATCTTATCAGGTTAAAAGAAGTAAACCATTTAGGTAATAAACATGCCTTCAGTTAACTTCAAAGTTACGCTTTTTCCAGCTTCTTGTGTTTTTATTTAACCCCTGTGTGGTTGGTCAGGCAGTTATTTATCACATGTTTCAGATGAAGAAACAGAGAGAGAAGCTCAGGGACGTGCCAGAGGTTCTGCTGCCGACCGGCGACGGAGTCCAGTCGGGGACTCTTGTTTTCCTGATTGCTAATCGAGTGGGTCTTTTCTCTTTCTTTCTTTTTCCTTCCTTCCTTCCTTCCTTCCTTCCTTCCTTCCTTCCTTCCTTCCTTCCTTCCTTTCTTTCTTTTTCTTTCTTTCTTTTCTTTCTTTTTTCTTTCTTTCAAAACACTAACAGAGAATTCCACAGAAATTGCATTTCATAAACCAAATTAAGTACATCAGTGTTGTGCTGTGTTTGGGTTTCCTAACATCCCTTGCATGTGGCATTGTCCCATGTTCCCATTTTTTACTCAGTTGGAGACACACTGGTTTGGTGTTTGGGCTCTGGAATGAGGAAGGAGGAGTGGGAGGAAGATAAGTGGTATCCCATTCTCTCCCACTCCCTGATTCTGGCAAGCCCGTAAGGCCAGCCGTCTCCCCACACACATATTCTTGGTCTGGCTCTGAACGCCCCGCATTCTCAAGGCCAGAATGTCATGCATTTGCGTCCTGTCTGTTGCATAAGAGAGCAACCACAGCCTCAAGCCCTGGAGGAGAAGCTTCTGACTTTCCTTGGTTACCCCCCAGGAGACTCATCTTCTAAAAGGAAGGGCAGCAGCATGCCAGACTCATTTCGGGGGTGGCTGTGACTTCCAAAACCCATGCTTAAAAAATGCCAAACGAGGTACCAAAGTCTGTTCTGTGGTTTGAGCCAGGGTGCCATGAGATGCCTAGTAAGCCCCAGCTTCGGCAGTCCCTCAGCAAAGAGCAGTGCTCTGTGACCACCCCTCCTCATCCCCAAAGCCAGCTCCACCTCTGGACTCGGCAGTTACAGGGGTTGACAGCCTGTCTTTTTTTTTTTTTTTTATGTTCAGTTAACCAACATATAGTACATCATTAGTTTTTGATGGTGTTCAACGATTCATTAGTTGGCGTGTAACACTTGAGAAGGATTTCCCATGCATATCCCTGTCGAAGCCCGGACTGATACAATCACCCAAGAGTTCCCCTGATATGCAAATACAGTAACTGCTATTATCTGGCTCCCTGGGCTGGGGTGGAAAGATAATTTCTAGATAAGTGGGGATTCAGCTGCTCCCGCTCACAGCCCTTACTTTCCAAAGCATTTGTTCTTATTTATTTATTTTTTTAAAAGATTTTATTTATTTATTTGACAGAGAGAGCTAGAGAGGGAGCACAAGCAGGGGGAGTGGGAGAGGGAGAAGCAGGCTCCCCGCCGAGCGGGGAGCCCGATGCGGGGCTCGATCCCAGGACCCCGGGATCATGACCTGAGCCAAAGGCAGATGCTTAACCAACTGAGCCACCCAGGTGCCCCGCATTTGTTCTTATTTTAAATTTTTTGAGTCAGTAATAGCATTCATGGGATTCAAAAATCAAAACAATATAAAAAGGAACTCTGTGAAAAGCCTTTGTACTCTTCCTTTATCCACATTTACTCAATACACGTCTTTTTGCAGATACCCACTTTTTAAAAATTTTATTATGTTAATCACCATACATTACATCATTAGTTTTTGATGTAGTGTTCCATGATTCATTGTTTGCGTATAACACCCAGCGCTCCATGCAGAATGTGCCCTCTTTAATACCCATCACCAAGCTAACCCATCCCCCCACCCCCGCCCCTCTAGAACCCTCAGTTTGTTTTTCAGAGTCCATAGTGCAGATATCCACTTCTTATGAAAATACAAGCAGAAACACATTTAATAATGTTTCCCTTTTAACTTCTACCTCAAATATCACATACTGTGCTGACAGCTTTGAGCCTTCCTTTGACTAAGCAACATGTCTTGGAGATGCTTCCTTATCAATATATAGAGAGCTTCCTCATTTCTTGAGTTTGTTCTGCCTCATCTGTGTAGTATTCCATTGTGCGCCCATGCCACTGTTGAGTTAACAAGTGCCCTATCTGATGAACAATCGTGTGGTTCCCAAACTGCTGCAATTGCATGTGAATGACCTTGTACATACATCATTTCACACACGTGCAAGGAAACTTGTAGGAGAAATTCCCACAAACGGGAATGCCGGGACGGATGGTAACTGCATCTGTCATTTGACAAATACTGTCATCTTGCCTTCAGAACGTTTTTACTTGATCATTTTTTGTTGGAAAACCTTTCCAACTATTTTACCCTTTCTTCTAAACTGAGGATGCTGACTATAAGTTCACCTTTACTGGGACACCTGGGTGGCTCAGTTGGTTAAGCGCCGACCCTCAGCTCCGGTCATGACCCCAGGGTCCTGGGATAGGGTTGGGCTCCTTGCTCAGCGGGGAGCCTGCTTCTCCCTCTGCCTGCCCCTCCTCCTGTTTCTGCTCTCTCTCTCTCCCTCTCTCTGACAAATAAATAAAATCTTTAAAAAAAATTAAAAAAAATAAATTCACCTTTTCTTGGTGAGTCATTCATTCATCAATAGGCACCAATGTGCATTCTCTGGTAGATGGTGTGGGACAGAGGCAGGCTGACCATGTCACTGTTCTACAAACACTCTCCCTCTTTGTCCCCCCACCTTTCAAAAAACGGCTTTATTTATTTATTAGAGAGAGAGAGAGAGAGATCACAAGCAGGGAGGAAGGGTAGAGGTAGAAGCAGACTTCCCACTGAGCAGGGAGCCCAATGAGGAGCTTGATCCCAGGACCTCAGGATCATGACCTGAGCTGAAGGCGGACTCTCAATCGACTGAGCCACCCAGGTGCCCCTTTATTCTCCCTTTTTATTTAAGCACCGAGGGCAGGAGGGCAAGGCTGTTTGCTCCCCTGTCTGTGGACAGCAGAACTCTACTGTCTTCTCTCTCCTCCCCCTGGCTCCTACTCTTCTCCTTTTTTAAAAAAAATATATATATACTTTTATTATGTTATGGTAATCACCATACATTACATCATTAGTTTTTGATGTAGTGTTCCATGATTCATTGTTTGCGTATAACACCCAGTGCTCCATGCAGAACACGCCCTCTTTAATACCCATCACCAGGCTAACCCATCCCCCCACCCCCTCCCCTCTAGAACCCTCAGTTTGTTTCTCAGAATCCATAGTCTCTCATGGTTCATCTCTCCCTCCGATTCCCCCCCTTCATTTTAATGGTCAAAAGTGTCTCCATCTCACTTAGGTTTTTCATTGTGATCTTGTGCTTTTTGTCACTGTCTCTTCTAATCTCGTTCCTTTCCTAGCCACTTTCTCTTTTTGGTGTCTCTTTGAAGGGCTACTACTTCACTTACACTTTCTTCTGAGAACATTTTGCTTTTATAGACGTCAATCACCAATCTCAATATCCCCTTGTCCCTTTCCAGCCAACTGACCCATGACAGAACACCAGGGGGAATTCACAGATCCTTTGGCCCTCCCTGACCTTGTAGCTTGGTGGTCACTGTGGAAAGACCCAGTGAGTGGGGGACACCAACAATGCAGGAGCGGCAGAGAGAAAAGAGAAAGAGAGAGAGAGAAAGGAAACTCCAGCTTTGAGAAACTTAAAAAAAAAAAAAAACCCACCTTATTTAGAAATAATAGGCTTTAATTTTGCTTAGATGTACCTTTTATGGCCACTATATAGTACATCATTAGTTTTTGATGTAGTGTTCAATGATTCATTAGTTACCTATAACACCCAGTGCATTTTTAAAATTTATAAACTTTACTTTCTAAAGCGGTTTAGGTTCACAGCAAAATCAACTGGAAGTACAGAGTTCCCCTCAACAAGCACAGGGTCCCCCACTGCCCGCCCCCCACCCAGAGTGGTGCTTTCATTACGATTAATGGACCCACACTGATACTATCACCCACAGTCCAGGGATTATATTAGGGTTCACTCTTGGGGTGTGTATTAACTGAGTTTGGACAAATGTAAAATGGCATGTGTCTACTATTGTAGTATCAGTCAAAATGGTTTCACTGTCCTAAAGGTCCATTTGTCATTTTGAAGAAGAAAATCTTATTTGGAATTACCTACAGAGAGGCAGCATAATTGTTTTCAGTACCAGGTACTAAGGACTTCTGCGTAACCACC